GCTCATCAACAGATCAGACACCCCCTACTCATCAAGGGGGCAGACACACGCTGCTCATCTATAGATCAGACACCCCCTACTCATCAAGGGGGCAGACACACGCTGCTCATCAACGAATCAGACAACGTCCACTCATAGAGGGGGCGGACGCACGCTGCTCATTGGAGAATCAGACATCAGATGCTCATTAGAAAACCAGACGTTCATTGCTCATAGGCAGAGACACACTGTGTCCTTTGGCCATCCAATACTCGCAGATCATTGCTGAGTCAATTTCATATCGCTCGTTGTGGAACCGGGATCTTTTTAAACATTGCTCGGGCGAGTGGATTTGAATGGTGAGTGTGGTGTGGACTCTCGACAATCGCTTAGTGAATAAGCTACAATCTATTCAGTCAACTAATATTTTATACAAACCCACTGTTTAGAATCGGGAGCAATGCTATGACACATCAATTACAGCGTGAAGGAGCAGCGGTCACCAATCAGACTGTATTTAATTTTAATTTTTATTTTATTTTTATTTTTTATTTTTTAATTCGATTTATTTCTGATATTGACGAGTGAGTTCAAATGCAGGCTCTAAAGTGGGGGCATGACGGGCAATGCAATCCCCTAGTCCCTGCCGATCGCTGAGGACCTCGGAAGAGGGCACAGCGAGTGACAGGCGCTGTTGCCCATGGCTTCAGTGAACAGCAGGTGACCCCTCCCCGGGTTTCCTCACACCGGGTCCAGCGTCCCATATCCAATCTACTCTTCCATACCTAACTTGCAGCAGGGGAGAAACACCAGGGGGCACCAGTGGAGTCTCCCTCCATCCCCTAGCCTCTGATTCCTTCCCTTCTTGAATCCACCGATTCTGGGACGCTTGCGAGAATAGGTGTCGGACATAATTGCAACCCATACATCCTTTGCCCTTGACAGCTTCCATTCGTCTGCTAATGATAGCTCTGCCAGAAAAATCCAGTAGGCTTCCTGATCTCCCGTGGCCACTCTGGTAATCCATTTAGCAAGTAGAGCCCTATTCTGCAGATTCTTCTTTTTCTGGGCTTCGTCCTTCGGGACATCCGTTAATATTGGAACGATACAGAGAACGAGTTAAAATTGGAACGATACAGAGAATGATACAGAGAAGATTAGCATGGCCCCTGCGCAAGGATGACACACATAAATCGAGAAATGGTCTGTTTCTGGGCCTCATGGCCTTTTTTTTTTTTTTGGAAAGGGAGACGGCCTTCAGATATCGTCATTAAGCTGACCGGGCCCAGACAATTCAGATATATTGGGTTTTACTCGTCAAGCTCCATCAGCTGGATTCTAACTTGGGTCTGTGTTTCAGCAGTTCATGGGTGTACCCACTGAGCTAGGCTCTTGGGTCATGGCTTAATTTTTTTCTTTGGAAAGGTTTCTCTTTTGATATGGGACGGTGGACCCAGTTTCCAGCAGGGCTCGTCTTCCCCCGAACACAACGCACCCTAATTTTGGCTGCATGGGACCGGAAAGCTAGGTAGTATACATTCATAATCAGGGTGCGTTGTGTTGGGGGGAAGACGGTAGCGTCGGATGATATGCAGTCAGCTGGTTGTAGTGCAGATTTTGTAAGGGCCAGATCCCACTGGCAAAATGGATTGTAGTAAATGTCTAAATGTGGACCTGTTTGTGGACAGGTGCCAAAATTTGTGATTGATCTACTTTAAATTTCTGCATCTTTGCGTGGAACACGTCCAGATTCAGACACTTATTCCAATCCTCTTTGCCAGTGGGAACCCTAAGCCGAACTGGCTGAGGCTGCCAGGATAACTCCCGGTCGAATTGTGAGGTCCCCGGCCTACCGTCTTCCCCCGAACATAACCCACCCTAAAACTGAATGTATATAATCTTATATTTCCAGCCAGATACAGCCAAAATAAGGGTGCGTTGTGTTCGGGGGAAGAGGTAGTGTCAATCTTTCCAACAACAACAACAACAAAAAACCAACCAAAAAAAAAGAACCCAACAACAACAACAACAACAGCTAGCTCAGTTGGTAAGGCACGCAAGTGGCAGCCAGGAGGTCTTGTGTTCAATCCCCATTGGCCTCATGTACCTTCCTGGGCATGCTTGGCGCCCCTGGTCCCCCCAATTGGCATTAAAAAGCATGTTCATAGGGGAAGGGGTAATCGGGGAGGCAAAGCCACTGTCCCTCTGCTACCGGCTGTCCTCTGGCCGGTGTCCCCCTGCTGGGGGTTCCCTGAAGGCAATCAAGGCCACCCTGGGTCTGAAAAGGCCACCCGATGTCAGGGGGCTCCGTGAAGGCAATCAAGGCCACCCTGGGGGCTGCCCGTGGTCCCCCCAATTGGCATTAAAAAGCATGTTCATAGGGGGAGGGGTAATCGGGGGGGCACAGCGACTGTCCCTCTGCTACCGGCTGTCCCCTGGCCGGTGTCTCCCCGATGGGGGTTCCCTGAAGGCAGCCAAGGCCACCCTGGGCTGAAAAGGCCACCCGATGTCAGATTAGACACAATATTGAATTGACCTGGGCTGGTTAGTCCGATGATAATACCTCAAGGCCATCACCCTTTAAAAAAAAAAAAAAAAAAAAAAAAAATCACTGTGGGCATTTTCAATGAATTATTAAAGCCCTGATAAAGTGTCACACCGTTGAGCTAGCTCAACTCAACCGTGCAAGTGGGACATGGCCCCGGGGCAAGATCCCACTTGCCCAAATTAGGAGATTTCGGCCGTTGATCTTTGCTATCTATGGTCAATATCTCTTCCATTTTGTGCATGTGGGACCTACGCCCCGGGGAGGAGGGTGAGAGAATAGAGAGCGGGGCGTAGCGAAAAGAGGGGGCAGTAAATAACAGCACAGAAAGAAGAAAAGGACTTGGAGGGGGGCGTTAATGGGGTTTAAGGGGGGGTAATGTTATGGCAATCGTGGAGCCAAGAGGGATTAGCAGCTGCCCCCGCGACACGAGTAGAAGCAGCAGCAGGAGGAAGAATTGCGCGTAAAGTCACTGACGGAGGCGGGGCCAATTATCAGAACGGAGGAAGGACAGCAAGGAGGAGGGGGTCCACAGAGGGCGTTTAGACACTCCTCGGGGCATCCTCGAGCTCCGAGGATGAGGTCCTTTGGAGCTGAGGACGATTTGAGGACGATTTGGCTGGGAAATCCTCGGAGCCCAAGGATTTGTCCTCGGAGTGTTTTCACATTTTCATTTCCGATTTCATCTCCGAGGACAGGTGGAACGAAGACGAAATCCTTGGAATCACCTCCCCGAGGAGTGTCTAACAACGCCCAGAGACTCTGAGATACGAACTGAAGACAGTGAAGAGAACTGGTAGGTCGGTTCTGCCGGTTATAATTAGTCCTTGTAAACTACGTAAGAGAAAGTCGAAAAAGCATCTTAAAAAAAAAAAAAAAAGCATCTTGGGTAGCATGGCCCCTGCGGAAGGATGACACTCGTAAGTCGGGAAATGGGCGAAATGAAAAAAAAAAAAAAAAAAAAAAAAGGGTCTTGGGTAGTTTGTGCCGGTTATAATTAGCCATTATAAACCACGTAAGGGGGTCCGCATCTGGTACAGCAGCGGCAGGAGCAGCGGCGGCAGGAGCTCGAAGAAGGAGGGGAGAAGTGGGAGAGCATTTGTGTGTGTGTGCGCGAGTGTTGGGGGGAGGGGAAGGAGGAGGGGAGAAGGGGAGAGAGATTGGGCCGACACGGAGGGGGGATAGCAGGGAGGAGTCCGACAAGGAAGAAGAGGAAAGAGAGATGATGCACGAGCAAGCGTGAGTCAGGCGGCACTCACGCTAGCCTAAGGACTCTCTCGAGAATGAATCTGCCCGGATTTTGGCATCAGACACGTGCAGGAAATTGCTGCTGTGAGTGTGGGCTCGGAGGGGGAAAAGAAAATGACGCGAATGATGCACACTTGACTACCGATAGGAGAGAAGAGGGTTCACGGAAGTGGCAGCAGCGAAGGCAGCAGCAACGGCAGTAGCAGAGGCAGCTCGAACGAGCAGCAGCAGCACGGATGCCAGCACCCCCGAGAGCAGAGTGGTTATGGGGTAAGTAAGCAGAGGGACGGCCGATGATGGGTCGGATATAGCAAGTAGCTGTAGTCGTCGTACTACTAGTACTATACTAGGAGGTGGAGGAGGTGTAGTAGTAGAAGAAAAACTAGTAGTAGTAATAGTAGTAGGAGCAGGAGGAGGGAGAGGAAGTAGTAGCAGTAGTAGTATAGTAGTAGTAGCAGCAGTGATAGGAGGAGGAGTAGGAGGAGGGAGGAGGGGGAGGAAGTGGAGGAGGAGGAGGTGGAGGAGGACGTGGAGGAGGAGGAGGAGGAGCACGAAGAGGAGACTAAGAAATAAGGTAGTACTATATACTGTAGTAGGATAGTAGTAGAAGACGTAGCAGGAAGAGGAAGAGGACGAAGGGCATAAGGTATATATAGCATTTGCTGGGGGAGAGGCCGCGCGGCGCGCTTTGCGTCAGCTCAAAGCGCGCCGATTTCCTTGGAGTCTCGATGGCTAGACGGTCGGCAGATGGGGAGCAGCAGGAGGGTCCTCCGGCTTCCTCTGCCGCTGCGGGTGTTCTTCGTGCTGCGGCTGTCGTGAGCCTCATTTTCCTGGCCATTGGTTTTGGCGTTGGCGGGCTGTTGGGAGTCTTGGGACCCGGGTCGGGACGTCGGCTACCTACCTCCCTGTCCTCTGCAAGGGACGCTGCTGCCCTCGAGTACCACCACGTGGAGGCCGGGATCGGGACGTCGGCCAACTGGCTTCCTCTGGAATACGGTCGCGACGCTCATGAGATCGTTCACCATGAATATGGAGAAGACGAAGGAGAGTGGGAGAAGATGGAGGAGCGAGGGAGGAGAGGGAGGAGACACGGAGGAGAGGGAGGAGAGGGAGGAGAGGGAGGAGAGGGAGGAGAGGGAGGAGATAGAGAGAGGGTCAGCCGTATGATCACCAACAATAGCCCAACCATGATGAATCATTTCTATTATGGCAATCCTGAGGAGGAGGAGGGGGAGGGGGAGGTGGAGGGGGAGGAGGAGAGTGTTGACATTTCAGTCGCGGTCATCAAAGATTTCCTTCCCGTCCTCAAATTGCCGACAGGACGGCAATTACCATCAGAATGGAAGCGGAAGCCGGAACCTGGACGGTGGTACACGACAGGGGAGAGACCGCGGCGCCTTTCTCTCAGACTGCAACTGTTCTTCGCTTCTGTGAAAGAACGGCCCGGTTTCCAACACGAGATTAGCGATGCAGATGCTGATTCAGAAGTATTGGCGCCTTTCCTTCGTCTTCGCACGGTCCATCGTCACTCAAGCACTCGTCGAGTGAGCATGCATTCTCGAAATAGACCGACTTTCTCCTCCTTCTCCTCCTCCTCCTCCTCCTTATATTTCATGTCTTCCACGTCACGCTCCTCTAAGTCCTCTACTGATCCTACCTCCTCTTCCTCTTCCTTGTCTTCTTCTTCTTCCTCTTCTATTCCTTCTTCCTCTTTCTTGCCTTCTTCTTCTTCCATGTCTTTCACGAGGGATGATCGAGAAGAGGAAGGGATGGAGAACCCAGGCAAGGGAAAAGGGAGGGGTGAGCGTCGTCGGCTTCTCACGACCGGCGGCGAGGGTGATGGGGATCCCGATCAGATTCCGACCGATGTCGTCGAAGATCAGTTTTTGCGCGACTATTTTTCAAGGGTCGAGAGACTAGAGTTGGTGCCGGGGACATCAGCTTCGAACCCCTCACCGACCTTTTCTAATGGTAACCATAATGACGAGTCAAGTTGGCCGGCCGGGAGTGGACGTCAGAGACCGGGGGGAGGGGGAGGGGGAGGGGGAGGGGGAGAAGGAGGGGGAGAGGGAGGGGGACGGGAGTTCGGTACGGAGGAAGAATCTGCTTCGGAATCTGCTCCGGAACCTTTTGGCGAGTGGGGAGGGCCCCGAGAGGAACAGGGTGGCGAGTCCCATAGCGATGACTGGGTTATGGTGAGGCTTCTCGCAATAACCGTGGTCCTGGTGGCATTTTTGGCGGCGTCCATAGCCAAAACCTGGGGGTGTTTCCGCAAGCACAGAAATCAACCGCCGACGCAGCAAGGTGACCCCTCCCTTTTGCGAAATGCAGGTCCTGCATGACAAGAGAGAGAGAGAGAGAGAGAGAGAGAGAGAGAGAGAGAGAGAGAGAGAGAGAGAGAGAGAGAGAGAGAGAGAGGTGACCCCTCCATTTTGCGGAACGGAGGTCCTGCATAACGAGAGAGAGAAAGAGAGAGAGAGATGGGGCGAGGAAGGAAGAAGAGGAAGAAGAGGAAGAAGAGGAAGACGAGGAAGAAACGGGAAACAACAAAGGAAGAAAGGAAGAGAGAAAAGAGGAAGAGAATCGTTTTATTGGAGGAGGAAGAAACAGAAAGAGGAAGAGAATTAACAAAAAAAACAATGCTGCTCTTAATTTTGAGAAATATTGTGTGCGTGTGCTCGGTGCAGACTATAGCTCGCTCATGGAAGCTGAGTCATGGGAGACAAACAGTGAGATCCGGTATATACGGCGAATCTATATTTTCCCGTTGATCATTTGAATCTACGGATCAGAGTAAAATCTCTCTCTCTCTCTCTCTGTCTCTCTGTCTCTCTCTCTCTCTCTCTCTCTCTCTCTCTCAATCTCTTTGTGCATGGGGGACACAATTACGTGCGCTCATATCCGTGCGCATGATTCTCTCTCTCTCTCTCCCCCCCCGAATCATGCCCTCCATGTCTTTCTTCCTTCCTCTCTTTTCCTTTCTTTTTTTCCTTTTTTCCTTTTTTTTTTTTTTTTTTTTTTTT